GCTTCTTTTATGTTGAACACATCGTCGAAGTCTTTGTATTTTTCAGAGACTGTATGGGTGCTAGTAATGCACGGGTTTGATGCTGAGACTGTGAAAACTTGTACTACGAATATTTGTTCCTGCTGAGGGTTAGATATTAAAGACCTTGAGCTCACGTGGTGCTCTTTACACATTGGATCGAAAAAGATTATGGAACGTTCACGCCAGTTAATTGTAGGGTTATGTAAGTCAAGCCATGGTAAGCCCAAGATTATTGGATAATGGGGTGATGAAATAAGATTAAACGACATTTTTTCATAGTGGTCTTGAAGGCATACAAGTAAGGGTCCCATTTCATGAGTAACGTTTCCAGAAAAGATTTTTCTGCCATCGATCACTTCTACTGAAAATGGTAGTTCTTTTTTGTAAATGGGTATGTTATATTCTTGAGCGAAAGTAGTGTCTAGAAAACAAGCGGAGACACCAGAGTTGACTAAAGTTACTATTTTAACCTCGGAGCCACCCGGTAAGTATAAACTCAGTTTAGGAGTAAGGGCATTAGACGAATAGGATGATAGTATTTTGGGGTTTAAGCTAATATCTTGATCCAGCCATAGCCCCCTTACTACAGCTAGGACTCCCCTTTTTCTGAAAACTCATCTGAAACTATGACAGCATCAATTTTGGACCGTGAATTGGTTTTTTTAAAACAATACTTAGCTATGTGGCCAGGCTCGCTGCAGTATAAACAGAGTTTATTCATACGTTTTTGTTCCTTCTCTCCAATGGACAGTGGCTTATATCGACAGCATCAATTTGCATAGGTTCCGTGACAGAGCTTGCTAGATTGCTAGGTGCTAAGGTTTGGTGTCTTTCTGATCCTGAATCTCTGGAACGCTCTTGTTTTCATTCAAATAGCCTATTATCACAACGTACCGCCTTTGAAATTGCATCATTTAACTAGGTAGGGTCTTCTATGGTAAGAAGTAAGTCTTTTACGTCATCTCGTAACCTGGTTCTGAACTGGTCGACCAGTGCTGCTTCACCCCAGTCTAGGTCGCTAGCAATCTGTCTAAATTCAGAAGTATAGTTTGAAGCTGGCCTAGATCCTTGGACAAGTTTTCGTATCTTGTTAGCAGTGTTCTGGACTTGTCAGCGTCGCCAAACGTTGCCTCAAACTCTTTGACCAGTTTTCCGAAGTCTTCTAGAAGCTCAGATTGCTTTTCCAACAAAGGTGCGAACCAAGCTAAAGCTGATCCAGTTAACAAGCTTCCAAGGAGGCCCACCTGTG